CTTCTTTGTTCTGTAGATATTGCCAGAGTTGTAATATTTGCCTGAAGATGGTGGTCATTTTGATGTTTTATGTATATTCTGCTGTTTCCTTTAGATAGCTGTGAGGAAATTTGTTCCGTTTTGCAATAGTAGTTGAGGACAAACAGTGTCAAATCTCTGGCACTATCACATGAATTGTTAATGTAGCAAATTAACCAATATTAGAGTGTTTGCTAGGCCAGGCCATTTGATTAGGGTTCATGCAAATGAAGGGATGTAAATACATTATGAACGCAGCAAGGCCAACAAAGGTGTAGCATTAACTGTGAAATAACATGCATTCTATTTTGTTGTGATCCCCAAGCATACAGCAGCAGACCACTAATATTATATTCAAAAAAAAAAAAGCAAATTGAATGGTACGGTTGTCAGTATCCCCCAAAAAAGATCTAAAAGATTTTGTTATATTTCTGTGTGTTTTGTTGTGAGAGGGCTATTGAATTGGACAAAGTGGGATTCAGTCAGTACAGCTCGTTTAAATTAAAAGTTACTAGTATATAACGAAATCAGTGATTAAATCCGTTTTGTTTCTGATGCATGGCAAATGCCCATGGCACCATAATTTGCATAAATACATGTATGTACATCCTGACCATATCTTGTTCTGCCTTGTGTGCATTTTTGCTGATGTTGCACTTGACGTCATTATTTTTGTAATGCGAACATAGTGTAGATTCAGAAATCCAGCCACAGTGATGTCTGGACTTGCAGTATGTTACAACTGACATTTCATAAAGATCAAGGACTGATATGAAATAGTGATGTGCCTGATGAATGGTGTGAACATAAGGAGAAAGTTGTTCATGCCTTGTCTACCATATATAGAAACATTCTTATGTAAAACACTGGTATCTATGAAAAGTTGTGCTGATAAAGCTGATACACCCATTTTAACTGTCACTAGCAGGTAATTGTTTGGGTTTGGGGTAATTTTCAGGTCTTGTCTACCGGGCCTGCAGCTTGTATTACCCTAGTGGTGACCTGTTGTAAACTGGTGTGTGACAGGCACTAGTCATTCAAATAAACCCTGACCCATGCTCAGGTGTTGTTCATTGGTTATGTTGGGTTACTAGTGTCTAATTGGTTAAGAGCTGGTCAGCGTTAAAGCCTCCCAAAGGACAGATTACTGGTTTACAAGGGTTGCTGTTTGTGCAATACAAACTGTAGGCATGGCTGGTAATTTGGTGCTGGCAATGTGTCAAAACATGGCAAATAAATAACCATGGACTAATTGGAAGATAAACTCACCAATTGAGTTGTTCTATTAGCAGCCAAACCCTTGGCGAGGTTGTCTCACTTGCACTACATTTTCGGTACGTTAGCTCTGTAATTTCAAATCTAGACTGTTGCACCATGAACAGCTATTTTCTACATTTATAAACCAGCTTTCATGTTTAAATGTGATGTATTCAAGACAAATATAGAGATGTAGTTGTTACCTGGTGATAACTATCAGTTGTCATCCAGAACACATGCGCCTAGGACCCCAAATCCATTTATCTTAGAATCCATTTGCGTTTGGAATGGATTTGTTGGCTGAGCACTGCTTAGATGATGCAGATTACAAAAACTGAAATGAAATGATTTGTAACAAAGATCAACTTGAGATTATGAATTACTGAAAAGTTGAACGTTTACAATGGCAAGCAAAATATGACCTGCCAAATTGCAACAACTACAGCAACATGATGTTAGCAGAAATAGAACTAAGCAAAGTAAAGGGACTTGCTAAAGATATTTGGAGATCGTCCATCTGTAAAATACTGTACTGGTAATAGATTTACACAAAGTCTATGGATGTAATAAAATATGTTGTGAACTTTAGATGCAGGCTTTTCTTTTTTGGTGGCGAACATAGTAACAAAAGATGGTGTTTTGTCAGTGGTAACTAAATTGAAACATTCAGTACCAGGCCTCAAACTTTGGTCAAATACTTTGAAATAGAAAACATGCCAGGGATCATAGTAAAATGTTGAACTCTATTCCAACACAAAGTTACACAGAGAGCAAATTTTCAACCACCACTTGCCAGGGGTGTTGGTCCCCCATTACTAGTAAAGTATATGAAAGGAGTACAGTTTGCCTCTTCCAGAGTACATGAGGCTAAGTTCTGGTGTCAAACGCCATGGTGCCAAAGACAATTTCCTGGGCAAATTTCATGCAAAATTCTGTTTTACATCTGCTTGGAAATCAAAGAGGGCTGACCTACAGTCTTGCTCCCACCTCCTGGGTCGGTGACCTGTGGTAACCTTGCACGTCACGTGAAAGCAAAATGGCGGCATCCAGGCAGGCAAGGAGAGTGTACACCTGTTGGTCAAGGTTTTCCTTCGCCTTCTTCGTCTTGACATCACTGGTTGTCGGAAACGACTCCTTCAGTAGACAGGTGTGTTGACTGTGACAAAATAGTGCCGGGTCTTGGTGTGTAACCATCTCTGTCTTACCCAATTCGCCCTCTCAATAATTAATCTCAGCCTTTGGGGGAGGGTAACAAACGTAAATTATATAACATGAATTGTGTTGCTTACCATTTGTAATCAGTAATATTTATCAACATTAGTAAGAGTCCAGTAGATCATTTGGGTGATATTTAATAAGGACATTATTCAATATTATTTACAGTATTATTCTATAAAAAAATTAAAAAGGCCTCAATAACTTTATTATGTGATGATCACATTTTTTGTTAATGAATGATAATTTTTAATCATTGTTGGTAACAGTAAATTGCGCTGTCTACTGAGCATGTGAAATTTGACAACAATAAAAAGTATTCCTACTCTGTAGTAACGTTATATCAAGCCAGCAATATCCATTATGATTATTATGATTATAAGTTGATTTATAGAAATATAGTAGTTTTATTCTGTATTTGTGTCCTATACTTAATTTTCACAATGTGGAATGCTTTTTCAATAGCTGCTTTTCTATGGCTCACTTTTAAAGCCATGCAGAGTCACCCCTATAGTTCTCCATAGGTCTGGTGTGTAGATTCTTTTGAAAAAATGATCAGTTGGGAACTTGTGATGTGAGATCTGTATGTTTACCCCTGTACCAGGTGTCCATGCACTATAACCCAGGATGCAACATCACAGAGTGCCAGTCCTCGTCGAATGACAACAACTCCCACAGTAACCTCGTCCACGTTCTGGCCAGGGGCAACAGAGACTCAATCCACTACGTCTGGAGCACGATAGGAGCGCCCACTGTACTTATGGTTCACACCACGTCTAAGGAGTCCAAGCTGACAGTAGACTGGGAAAAACTGTTGAGGACAACAAAAGGTGGCATCAGTGGAGCGATAACAGTTGAACCCAGCAACGCAGTGGACTTCTCCATGGCTGTGATATTTAACAAGGTATGTGAAATGAACTGTATTTAGGAATTTTGTGCTCTTCTTCTTGTGCGCTGATTTGAAAGTTTCACGATTTTCTGATCAAACGTAGATCGAATGCTTTAGAAGCTCCGGCCGCCAACCCTAGTTCCAGGGATGGCATATGCCTGCAAAGGAGGCTACTCTTCTTCACACTTTTGTCTGGAATATAGTCATTGAAAACCATTTTCAAAGATTTAAATGGTACATGTATATTGAGTAAAACAACATCCCACTTTTCTTTATTAGATTTGGGAATATGAAGACCTCCATGACAAGTCCGAGCTCCCAGAAGACAACACGGGAATGTTTGAAGCATACGACCTGGCCCAGATGAGGTGGGACGACTTTAACGTCACCATGAACGCTACAAGCCTCACGGGCAACTTCACAGGAACTACGACACAGTCCGACATGGAGTCCCTGTTCCAGAATGGCAGCATTTCATTTAAGGTGAGATTTAAATGTTTTTACCAGCTGGTGATGTGATTATTTATACGATTTGCTGTGAGGATTGCGTGTAAAGGGTAAGTATGCAGAGGGGGAAAACACCAATCAACATTAACAATTCAATTCTTTATCCGTTGATCACGTATCAATGAATTTCAAGGAATTTGCATGCCCCATCGCGCCTCTTAGACGTACCCCACAAATTTGTCATCATCTTTACAGGTAAGGTCATAAAACTGGTGGCCCCAGGTTCGGGGGAGCTAACCTTTGCAAGAGTAAGGGCAGCCCAGAAAACATGAGCGACAGAAAAATCGCATGGTAGCTACTAGCTAGCTACAAGAGTCGAGAGCATCATGCTTCATCTTAGTTGATGAGGACTGCTTTAATGTTTTTTTTTTTTTTTTACAGATCCATGCCTTCAGCACAGACGACCGATCAGCAGACCTTCCCCACCTTCAGTACACGTCAAACCAGACTCAGTTTGACTTCACCATAGACTCTGTGGAACCCCGTGGCAATATGTCCCGTTACGCCATGGAACTCACGTTCATTACGGAGGATAAGAAAGGCATGCACGTTGACTTGAAAAAACTGCAGTCTATAGATGATGAGTATACTCCTGGTGTGTTTCAGGTAAGTGTTGTTCATCCTTTTTGAAAAGTCTTTAAACTGTTGTGTCCAAAGTTGATGCAAGGACTGCTATATAATGTCCTTGGGTGATGTTGGAATTTAAAGAAGTTTGGAAAATATATATACCCTCACAGTAACTTTTGATACCTTTTGAATTCACCTACATTGTACTACTAATAGAATCTTTTCGCTTTGCATGTAGGTTGGCCATGGGGCAAGTCAATCTTTGGTTAATAGATGATTGTTTCCAGATGTTAACATTTCTTACTTTTGAAAACTATGCAGCCAAATTTGAATAAATCTAATGATAAACTAAGGTATAAACTGAAGGTGGAAATACAGAGAAACAAAACTACAGCTCAACCCCTTGAAACAAATCTATACCTGAATGTAATAGTTAGGGTGTGTAATATGGAGGATTCTTTCTTGATTTACAGTTGTTTGAACTGACCACAATGCACAGTGACCAGACAGAGAGCTATGTCCAGTGGAAACCTGTCTGCTACACAAAACACACCAGGACAATGGGAGTTGCCACACCCACAAAAACGTACAATCTTAAGGTTTGTACTTGACTGATTTATGTTAACATTTGTGAGTGGCATCAAGGATATCAAGAAAGTTTGTGTTGTAATAATATTAACTCCTTTCAAGACTTTTGAAACTTGTTTTAAGAAATTACCAAGATTGAATGAACGAATGTGTACATCATTTTCAGGAATGTTACCATTAAAACACAGTTACTCACCTAGATTTTAGAATCTATAGATTTCTTTCTCTTTTTAACATGCCCCTAAAGTCATGGTGTATTCATTTTCAGGACCTCGATACCAAAGGAATACCAGCTGACACAATTGCAAGAGCATACTTCACTAACATGGACAGCTTACAGAGAAAAGCATTGAACATATCCTTTGGTCTAACTGGTGATGGGTCCTATGTTGCTACCAATTTTACAAGTTGGTAAGTGCATCTTGTGGTAAACTGTGCATTACTATGGACTGTTACAGTTACTGTTTTGTCATAGTAAAAAGGAGGCTTCTATAGCTATTTATATACAATGATTGAAATTTTGAGTTGATGATGATAGTTGCCAAAATGATTATAAAATCTAGTGTTCCATGGAGTTTCATCCTTGGCCCTGTTATTTATAGGTTTCAAAGATTCGAGTGTATTGACATCAAACCTAGTGTGGATGGGCCTTTTATAAGAAAGGCAAAACTGAAAATATTGTTGGTAGAATCTGTGATTGATAGCTTCACTTCATTATTTTGCATTTTGTGAAGTGTAAAAACAAGCTACACAAGCTGGAAGAAGCTGCCCCAATTTTTAGCTGCCCCAGAAATAAAACCCTTGCATGGTGTAAACAACAATATTGCTGATAGTTTTTCTAACTCCTTTTGCAGGACTGCATCTGTGGGGTATGGCGCGCCTCCATCTGAAAAGCTGTCCCTCCTGATTATCGTAGTGATTTCGACAGGACTGGGCATCCCCGTGGCCATCATCATGTTTGGAGGACTGTTCATGTGCTGCAGGCGGAAGGATAGCGAAAAAGGCGAAAAGGAAAAAGACGAGTACACCAGGGTAAACGGCAGTGAAACAGATGTCATTAATTAGGATCCACCTAATGCAAAGTATTGGTGACGTGGACACAAATTTCCAATCATGCCATTCTCACTGCTAAAACTTTAAAACAATAGTGTTAGATAGATAATGCCAAAGCAGAGTTGCTCTGAATGTAACAGGAATAAAGGCAATTTGCAAAAGGATTTGCTGCAAGGTTGGTGTCAAGTCTGCACTTTATGGGTAGACCTCCTCTGTATTTGCAAGCCCTGTTATTTTCTCCATGCTGCATCTTTGAGGTCTTGTATTGCGTATTTTGTTGCAGAAGAGCTGGTAACTTTTGCAATATTTCATGAGGCTAGGCTTTGTGGTGTCAACGGTCTAGAAGGTAGGCTAGTGGACACGGGATTGCAAGGTCACAGAAATTGATTCCTGGCTAGATGTTGTGCCCTTGGGAAAGGCACCTTGTACGACTTCCCTTGCTCCGACCAGGTGTAAATGGGTACTTGTCTTTGGTTGGGGAGAAAAAAATAAAGACATGGAGGTGGTGGAAGGAGAGGGATTGGCTCTGCTCTCCAGTACAGCCTGTACCAGGATACCAGACTTCATTTACCTGGCTTGAAATTGAATGGCCTGCATTTGGAATCTGATGTGAAATTGATTTACATGTACTATCATACCACATGCCATGGTATTGCATATAGAATATGTACATTTTCTTGATCACTGTAGCTTTCATATTGCATTAAGAGTATTTCTCAAGTTGTATTAAAGATATCTTCATGTTCTGTCTGTATAATTTGGCCTTGTGCACAGTAATGCCTTTGTTACAGCAAGGAGGTTCTATTCAAGATAAAACCACCTAGTTATTGTGGAATACAGGTAGAATACAGAATTATAATAATTAGAATATATAATATCTGCCCACGAAAAGGATCCGTGAAAGCATGGGCTACTTGTAATGGTTGTGCGCAATTGCTGAGTAAGACAGCAGAGGAGGAGTACAGAGGAAATAAAATGCCACTTAACTGTGTATGTTTTTGAGCATTTTTCATTACAAGTTACACAGAATACTGGAAAACTGTGCTTTCTTGAGGCTAGCTGTAGTTTTGTTAGGATTGTTCAAAATATAGAGGTCTGTCTACAGGAACTGCTGTAGAACCACAGGAAGCACCAACTAAAATGGCAACATGAATGGAAAATAATAAATACAAAATGTATACAACAGGCTCAACCCCTGAGGCAGTGCCAAAAAGGATACTTTCTACTAAAGATGCACTGTTGTTTGGAAGATGTAAACAATAAACAAATTCTACTTGTTTAAACAGGAAGCTTCTATTATGTCAAACTTTTCAAAAGGTATTACATGTACATCTCTTTTGCACCAGTAAACAAAATTGGAAAATCATTAATGTACATTTGATCAGAAAATTCTGACACACAGAAGTGTCAGTCATACTATGGTCTTACCTTAAAAGACATACATTGTAGTTTCTCAAGACTGCTGTCAGACTCTGACTGAGATAAATCATGATACATGTACCTAGTTACTGCAGACTAGCACAGATTCTAAGCCTTTTCATTTTACAGTTTGTCGCAAGAAGAAATCAAATGAATTCTGATGCTATTCTTGGTGCAAAATAGAGGCATTTAAGGGTACTTCACACAAAAAGTATTTGATACAAAATGTAGTTCAAGGAAGTTCATGCCATGAAGTTGGTACAAAACGGATCGCTGGAACGAATACCACTAAAATTGGTACAACTTACATTTGTAGCTTTGCATGACAAGTACATATGCTTATTTTGGGGACTCCACCACTAAAGGAATTTCTTTATTCATATTACTGAATATATCACAGGTATGGGCACAAACTTCAGTGACTAAATCAGTGAATAAATTGAATAATGCCAAAAGGTCTAAGGCTGTACACTGTTATTAACTTAATAATAAAATACAAAAACATCTAATTGTTTACTGTATGGGAGAGAAATGCACATGAACGTATCTTTCACTACAATGTACAATACTACATCTTTCATGGGGGAATCTTCCTTCTTTTCTTCAGTAGTTGTAGTGTCTGGAGCTTCCAACTGTTTCTGATTGTGTTGGTTGAGGTTTCCGTAGATAGCCATAGCCTGAAGAACAAAAAATTACAAGACAGTTAGATACACTGTCACAGTAGTGCATGTACTTTTGATACAAAATCCTAACATACATGTACTGTACTGCTTGATACAATGCAGATATTACATAAATCAATGGCATACATACATGTATATGTTACACCAACGATTTTGTGATGAGGTCCCAGATGAGAAAACACTGAAAATTTTAGAATTACATTTTAGAGTTACATAGCTGTAGCCTGTACTGACCTGAGCGACCATGCTGCTGACATCTCCTGTGTTGGACGGCAGGACCAGTGTGTTGCCTGTCTTCGCCAGGTGGCTGAAAGCTTGCACGTACTGTTCCGCTACGTTCAGCGACGCTGCCTGGGACCCATACTGCTTTCCGATGACCTCTGATACAACCTGCAAGGATTCCGCCCTGGCCTTGGCTCGAAGGGTGATTGCATTGGCCTCTCCTAGTAGTAGAAAATTTTCAAGGCATGTTGTTAGAGACTTTAAGGTTAGAGAAAACCACTAGTAGAGAGTTTAAGCGTAGAGAAAACTACTAGTAGTAAGGATGGAGCTTTTGCAGAGAAAAGTACATATAGAAGCAACTAAATTACAACATCTGTAAATCTACAGTGGTGTTGAAATCAGTCCAATAGTGACAACTGTGCATGCAGAAATCCACATCAACTTGTAATGTATGTTTTGGCATAATACATCATTCAGTATGACAATCTATTTGGAGACCTTTCTGCAACCTTTGACCTAAATTCCTGTCAGTGTCCACAAAGTGTCTACTAGTACCATGACCTTCCTGTCCGTCTTTGGTTTCAGGCATTTCATCAACCCTCCCTTCCTGTGACTCTTCTGAATTCAAGTAACTTCAGGCACACAAATAAACAGGCACACTGAAAACAAAACTCTGTACACAGAGGCTAAAATGAGAAGACAAAATGATTGCAGTATAACAACTGAGTACTAACCCTCTGCTCGGTTGGTCTCCTCCATCCTAACAGCCTCTGATGCCAGAATGCGGGCTTTCTTCTTCCCCTCAGCAACGTTGATCTCTGCCTCCCTCAGACCTTGCCAATTGACAGAGAAATGATTTTTGTTGGGTCTTTGCAAAGGTACATTAAAACTCATGAACTTCAACAGTTATGGGTTTGAATCAACTGAACCTTAAACGAGGACATCAGATGATGCCATCTAAAGAAGCCTGGATGAATCCCTAGCTGGCCTTAATATTGTGCTCACTCAGTTGAGAATGAGTACCTGTTTTAGGGGCATCCTCTAAGATGGCTAAAGGTCCATGTTTGTGGAGAGCCACACCTCAACAATACCCACCACTCTTAATTAGGGTGTCTATACTGTTTTGGGTGGATCAAAGTGGATCAGTCCGGTCTTACACAGTATTTTACTTACCAAATGCACACTATCAGCTCAACTCTAAAGCATCACTTACATTATAAGCTCCACTCCATAACAACAAATATGTTTTGTTCTTTTGACAGACAAACCTTCTGATTCCAAAATGGCTGCCCTCTTCTTCCTCTCGGCCTCCACTTGCATGACCATGGCCTCCTTCACTCTGTCTGGCATCTGGATGTCACCTACATTGTACAGTTGACATTTTTTGTTAAGATCACAAGTGCAGGGACAGTTCAAACAAGTATAGATCATAGTTATTCATAACTAGGTGTATGTGGATATTTGTGAATTATAGATGTGTATTACTTTATAAGCATACTGGTAGCACAATTATCAAGTCTTTCACATTGTGATTGAATGGACTTTTCCCCCAGAAATGCCAAAATATTATATGATAATATCATATACACTTTTACTCCTAATGGTCACTGGCAGTTACTAGCAACATGAATATTCAAATCTCACCACTAATGTATAGCTTTTGCCACAGCATACATTAATTGTTGTAGTATAATGGCATGCCCTTAGATTTTGTTGTCGCTACAGCACTATAATGTAAAACTGAGAATAAAGGAAACCACATTTAATAGTATTATGACCAAAACCCAATTATGTTTGTTTTTGATTTTGTACTTCTTACAAGATATCACAGAAGGCAGACAAGACTGTTCAGGCTTCTTATGAATATATAGTGTTGACTCACGTATTTCATATCTCAAACACCTCATCCCCCAAGCATCTGCAGCAAGGTTAATGGCATCTGAAAAGAAACATGAAAAACTCTTATCATCAAAACTGGCTGGATAATTTAGTCTCCAACAAAACATGTTCCACTAGAGTTTCCCATTAGAATAAAAAGATAACTTCAAACATGGAGGTCCCATATAATCAGCCAATAACATGATGAGCAAAATGTACTTACCTACAATTGCAACATTCAGAACCTCCCTTTCTTTGAAAACTTGATCCATTGTTATTTTACCTAAAGAACAAAGACAACAGGTGAACAATTATTTTCATACTTGACATAAAATACATGTATCAGATACTTTTTTATTATTCCATCTATCAACACATGCATATCAATTGTAGAAAAAAAGGTAACACAATATCTTAAATTGTGGTGATACATTATACTTTTTATATTGACCCATATGGTGAGTGGCATTGTCATTAATCTGCTATGCCAAAGGGTCATGTTATAGACATATGAAGTGTTAAGAATTGTATATCTTAAATGCTGTCTTACCTATTTCTGACCTCATAGTGGTCTGTGCTAGTTGTGTTACAGCATACTCTGGGTCCTCAACACCATAACTTGCCTAGTAAAACACAAGCACATACATTTTGTATACATAATGATACATGTATATGACTACGAAATCAAACATCCAACAGCTTCAATTATGGGTGGTTTAACTCCTAAGTTTATTAATGGTAAAACAAGTGAGGAAAGGATGATGTAATGCCGTAGTAACACACCACCAGGTTTAATGTCAGCATAATACATGTATCTATATATCTTTTAGAAAGTATGTTGTAAAACTTGACACAGGAAGATTGTATATATATATTTGCAGCCCCTAAATTGGATTGACCTTGTCAGGAGCTATTGTACAGATGAATATTTTATGAGCTTTGCATGTTCCTATGACAATGCCATAAATAAAACGTCTTTATCTTGCCCAATTGCCAAGAAAATTTGACCGCAGGAATCATTTGCATACCTTGTATGGGTCCAAAATCCTCAGGTACAATACCCCGTCTATTTGCAGTGTCACGTTATCTGGATGGAGAAATAATGAAACGGTACCGATGTCGATCTAACAGTCTCATAGCATGGAAGCATTCAGACATAAAGGATGGAAGGATAAGTCATCAAAATATAGTGTTCCCTATGTTTCTAGCTGTACTTGGTATATCATGGTTTATACCACAACTTAGTACTCTATACTGGGATCACTGAGGGTTGGAATTTTCTTCAATTAGTAAAATATAAACAAGAAAAAATGGGCCCTGATACATGTACTAACCATGAGGAACACAAATACATGTATAAGGAAAGGGAGAAAAATATACATATAAATTCATGTCAAACTCACCTATTGTGATAGCACTCTGCTCTGGGATATCAATGACGATTTCCTTGAGTGACTGAACATACTTAATTCTGTCCAGAATTGGAATGAGGAGGTTGAAACCCTGTAACAGAATATAAAAGGCATTTGAATCTGATATTTCATACATTATCAGTACTTGTTCAGTGACAAATAACAGGAATATCTGTATTAGATCTGTATTGTTTATCAAATAGAATAAGCCTTTGGCACAACACACCAGCTTTGCAGATATTGTAGTAACAGGGTAGTGGTAGGTTATAACACACCAAATGAAGTAAGTCACAACTTCAACTTTCAATATATAATTGCGAGCACGTTTCATACCAATGAAGATGCCTCTACAATACTTGCTGATAGTTCAATTTCTAGGAAAGAGGAAGTCTTTATTTACCGGTTCAAGAATCCTGTGATATCTGCCCATCCGTTCCACCACCCAGGCCTCTTGTTGTGGAACGAACAAGATGACAGTATTCATGGGCAGTCCACTGGCATGTCGGGCGAGATGGGTCAAACTCGTCTGGGGAAACAGCCCCTGTAAACAAAAACAAACAAACAACTCACACTTTTTGTTTGTCTTACACAGTAACAAATATACTTGTATGATTTTCTTATTGCATCATTGCCCATCAAACTTAGACTGGTGATTTTCTTCAGGCGTTTCTGCTGGCTAACCAACAGCCAATCAAATACTCCCCCTCCTGTTGTTGGGAGGAAAGTTAGCAGCCAATCACCTTGCAGCCTGGCTGGCTATCACATGGCTGGTATATTTGGCATAATACAAGTGCCCGAAGGAAGATGGATTCATGATTGTATTATCATAATAGCAAAATCAAGTACTACAGACTGTACAGTAGTACTAGTATTGTTTTGATCTGCTGAAGTTGTTTAGATTTCTGCTAACATCTCAAAAAATTCCTCCATGCTGCATTTTGAGCTTATCCAGTTTCAGCTTTTCAACCTTAGTATAAACACAGTAAAATGTTCTGAGTTGTTTTATTTGAGTGTTGACATATCACAAAATCATAATACATATGTACCATTAAATGATTAATACATCTTTTATGATCATTTATCATAGTGTTGTTTTAACCACAAACTTCAAACACTGCAAAAACTTCCTTTTCCCTCCAGCCACAAAATAAATCCCACCGAAGGTAAATGCATTTACAGTAACTAAACTTGCATAACCTGCAAGATTTAATCTATAATAGTACAAAGGACACACAACACAACTTGTGTCAAATTGAAGATGTTCCTTGTACATTGTTGGGAACTACCCTGCCCCGTGAGTTCGAAAAAAATCTGTGTCCGTAGTGACCAGTAAACGAGACAGTACCGAAGTTATAAATTCTAGTGGTTTTGTTCTTGGTGGAACTGGAAGAGAGAGCAGCATGGCGATTGCAACATGCATAACATGCAACATGCATCTATGATAATTTATTTGGCTCGGGAGACAGCATACCAACACCAAATATACAACACTGAATCTTAACACTTCAAGGGCAGCAACGCAACTCCAAAATCTATCAATTTACCGTTTGAGGGCGAGTTCTAGCCCCGATTCTCAGTGCCATGCTGAGTGCCCCACTTCTTACAACACCAGCCATCTTGTCACCTCTGTAATGTCAATTGCACAGCTCACTTTGGGTAGTGGTGAAATAGTCAGAATGAAACCATTTGACCGGCTCAAATAGTTTGACAGACTAAATTTAATCACCTTAATACTTTTGAAGTATAAAATTCTTATGCAAATAACCATAAATGATGTGTAAATGCTAATGATTAAGTTATTTATGACGGGATTACGCTGACATCCCCTCAGAGATACCACATGATGGAATATTCCGGATAGCAGTTTCAGACATGCGCGCTGTGCCAGGTCCTTTCCGCCATTTTGTTCGTGGCACGGTGGGCTCTTCTCAGGAAGAAGCGAAGAAAAATCACCATGAGTTTGGTAATACCCGAGAAATTCCAGCACATTTTGCGTGTGATGAACACCAACATCGATGGGCGTCGGAAAATCATGTTTGCTTTGACGTCGATCAAGGGTGTTGGGCGCAGGTAAGAGGAAAACTGGCAGTGGTACTACTGACTTGAGCAAATTTCCATGCCACATGACCTCGTGTACGTCGGCTATAGCTGCCATGCGTTCATAGTTTTAAGAAGTTAGCGCACAAATATCGTCCATGAATAGATCATAATTGGCATATATAACTGCATATATGGTATACTGCGTCAAAAGTGGCAAAAACCACCTAGCTTCAACTTCTGTAGTGTTGTATACATGGTCTGGTAAGGAGTTAGCCTGCTACTATACTACTAGTTCTAGTGCTAAGATTTAGTAAGAAGTAAGATGGCAACAAAAATAGTTTTGTCGCATCTCACGACTGTACATATTGATTCCATTTATGTCCTGGAACGTCCAGAATTGGAAGGTGTTTTGGTTTGGCCAAAAAATTCTAGTTATAGCCAGGAGTTGAATTTCTTTTGAATAGAACAACTTACTATTAAAATACACAACTTACCAAATTATGCATTATCAGGCTAGTTTATGTCAGTCAGACTGATATAGATCTGCCTGATATACATTTCAAACATGTTTCTTTTGGGCGTATTTTGTGGTCATTCATATTTCATGTCAGCCCCTTATTCCAGGCAACTAGATTTTTTAACATATGAAAAAAAAAATTAACTGACTGTTTCTGTTGGCCTCTGCAGGTATTCCAACATTGTGTGTAAGAAGGCCGACATTGACCTGTCGAAGCGTGCAGGTGAGCTGAGTGACGAGGAGGTGGAACGTCTCATCACCATCATGCAGAACCCTCGCCAGTACAAGATCCCCGACTGGTTCCTCAACAGGCAGAAGGACGTCAAGGATGGCAAGTACAGCCAGGTAGGTTCCACATTTTCCTGAGGGCTGTACTGTAAATTTTTAAATGTTAGCAGCATTTAAAGTTAGTCATAATTCGCTGTGACATCTCACGGCAAACTCTCACTGCAAATGGCAATTGTGATATTGTTTTAATCAATACTAAACATCTGGAAACATCGGTCGTGTTCGCGGAACTATATACACAGTAGTGGCAGGTGCAGAAGAAAGAAAGTCAGAGAATTATTTTTGTGGTAAGATAAATTCGCAGTACAGAAGTGACGGCAAGGACCGCGAACATAAAAGTACTGCAAATATAAAGTGATTGACAGTAACTCTAAACACATGAAACCTGTATTTCCAGCCTGTAAATATTCCTACATGCAGATCATACATTATAGTTTTGTAAATAAGTCAACATTTGGAAACTTTTGGTCAACTTAAAAGTCCATTTTCCCCACTTTCCCTAGGTGATGGCCAACTCGCTGGACAACAAGCTGCGTGAGGATCTGGAGCGTCTGAAGAAGATCCGTGCCCATCGCGGCCTGCGTCACTACTGGGGCCTGCGTGTGCGCGGTCAGCACACCAAGACCACCGGCCGGAGGGGTCGCACTGTGGGTGTGTCCAAGAAGAAGTAGAATGGAAATCCTCGTTGTTGTACAACCATGAGAAGCAGCAAATAAATGTATTGAAAGCTGTAGAAGTGTTGGTTCTTTGTTTCCTTCATCTTAGATAAAGCATCTGTAGTTTTAGCACCACTGGCTCAACTTTAGCCTTCATTAAAAGAATCTGTAGTGGCCCCCCAAAAAAGAGCAGATTGATGGCTCTCACAAATTGAAGCAATATTGCTTAAAAATGACACTTGTGTCTGAACCCTGTTGATGAGCATGAAATTCAAATATTATTGGCCTTGCAGTACTTGTCACCTGATTGCTATTAAAGGACCCAGTCATGTTGTGGTTTGATAGGTTTATCAAATTGAGAGCATTCTTGGGACAGTAGGAAATACTAGAAAGTGAAAGTCATACAAAGACAAAGTTCAGCTGTCACATAATGGGAATATAATAGCCTGGGTACCATCCGCATTTGTTGCTATGCTGCAGATATTCTTAGTGCAGTGGAGGAACAAATGTCTTAATGGTACCATCTGTACAGGGCACGCCTGTGAAGCAGTATATTGTACTGAGTGCGTCTACCCTGTATAAAGAAGACAGAAATAAATAAATGAATAAGTACCCAAGATATGATGGAAAGTACACTGTAAATGTACTATAAATCTATGGTCAGTTCTTTCATGATCTCTAAGAATCAATCATTTGCAGGCATCAGGTTGTTCAGTGGGTATAGACATCTTTCCAGACTTTGTGGTATATGAACTTCAAGGTACATGTAGTTTGTAACACCCCATTTCCATGTCAATTTTTTCTTCCATCTGTACTTACGATATACTACAGTACTGGGGTAGCACTGTTCATCCATGATCTGAGTTTTTTTTACAAGAAATACTATGTGTAATAAGAAATGGTGATTGCACCCTAGTCATATTGATCCCCTTACTTAAAAACAAAGTCATCCTTGTCACGTATTTCTCTTCTAATTTGTACCGTTTGTCAATGTCTAAGATCTATAGATCATATTGGCACGAGCGCTTCCAGTAAAATTGGTTTCCTTTTGGCCCCTAGCTAGCGGTCCCCTTTACCAGTATCAGTCCTTCACAAATGAAACAAATTATTTCCGCAAAAGAGAAATGCCCCGCATAATGAGAAAACCCAGGGGCTATTCCCATGCAGAAACACAGGAGTATGATATATTCCAGTGGTTAGGGAAAACGAGCGGAATACCAAACGCTTGCAGGAAAATGAACTGATTTTATTGATTTCATCAGTCAATGAAATCGATCCCGGTGTAACAAGCGGGGATGAGTGAATGTTTGCTTTTGGTGCACGGACTGTGGTCTGTAGCTTGAGCTAGCCTACAAAGCAGCACACTAATAATATTGCCGTTTTCTTGCGCTTTCTGTTAAGTTCCGGCTATTGTGTTCTGATGTAGATGTTGATGAAAACGGAAACCATCAAATTTAGCGCGGCAGAAACTAGTATATATGTATTAAACGAAGGGTATTGCAAGCAAGGTCACAATCTCTGGTTCTGAAAAAAATATCCCAATGCCCTGTATATAGCTATGTTCTGTCAACCAGATGAAATTATTTTCCGAAGTATGTAATGGAGCACGGAACAATTAAAGCGCCAACCCTTTGAGCAGGCTTGAACCCATTCCAAACGTGTACAAACATAAAAGTTGCAGACGTACTTCGTATATACTAGGAGTTGGGACGAGATAGAGGTGTGCCTCAGTACAGCACTCATTACTGACCAGAAAGGTCCGTTGAACGGATCAGTCTCCCTGCACTCCCTCGGGCATATATCCCTGGGATTGACATGGGCGTTACTATATCTGTGTACCTGGTGTAACCGCCCTTGGGCGTGACGCCAACTGTATAGGTGTAATTGTATAGATGTGTCAGTACTAGTACATTTGTTTGTACAGGGACTGTGCTTCCATGATAAAATGAGTCACACTAGTACTACTCTTCAAACCATAACTTCGTCTGCTGGTTCAACGAGTCTTCAATGGGAATTACTAGTACACATGTTATATATTTTGTTGTGTTAGCCCCGGTACAATGATTTCCAACGTGTGCATCTCAGAGTAACTTCATGAGCACATCTTTCAATATGAGAAATGCATAAATTGTCGGTTTATATTCATCACAAAGTGTGTTAAAGGCTTGGGAATTCACGCACTCATCAATTATTATATTCTTTTATGTAGATCTTTGTCTCGATCAATTCACTTAATTTCACACGACATTATTGCACTGGAAGGCACTGCTATGAATAACTCACTATTGGGTAACAGCAAGGACGTCCGAACGCAGCTTCCGTGAAAAATTACAGAGATATATCAAGCCGATTTACAAATGTACACAGCCTGAAGATCCGAGACCGAGAGGTTCCGAAAAGGCTTTAATTAAAAGATAAGACCCCTGCTAGTCACGGAAGACGCGATGTTACCCATCAAATTCCGATTCCAATTCGTGCCAAGATCGCGACGCCAGGACCTTTGATAACCGTGCGCGTCACTGCCGGGTGTAATCATCAATGATGAGAGGCTCAGGGGTTGGGGACCTTCCGCGAAACCAATGTGCAGTGCTTTGCAATTTTGTGGTCCTTGGCCCAGCTATGGTGATATATTTCATGGGTGATTACTGTGTACGCAGCTGGTATCATGACGTCGGCTCACTCGCGTTATAATAAAATCCACGCATCTCCACTTGTCAAAATTGCGGAGAACAGTAGGCAGACTCTCCTTGTCCGTATACATATATTTTGTACGCATAAAGTAGGACGTTCTCTCATTTTTTTTAGTAGGCGCTTTGTTGCCACAACATTCAAGATTCCAACCCAAGTTGGCCTCCTGGCAAAACAACTTGGCTATCAAAAATGCACGGACTGAAATTAACAGTTTTAAAATTCTGACAGCTTAATTTTCTGAATATTATCTCATAGGGTATCTTCAATAGATGGCAAAGTGTTTCCGCGGATAAGAATGCACAACCCAAGGGACCCCTCTGAAATTGTAGATGATGGTTCGGGTACTTCTGATGACGACATTCTGTCCCCCGGCACATATGTCATAATTTCTTCTAGTCGTGACGCCCAGAGGGGCGCCAGATGTATTATCTGGTTGGAATGATTTCAAGAAGTTGAATCAGGTATCAAAATAAAATAGGAGGAAACCCTGACGGAAACTACATTGCCAGATATCATCCACTACAGTCCCTCCCTCAAACACACAGATCTGTCATCGTGTCGTGTACGTATTTGAAAGAGATTAGCGTTACATGTATGTAGGTCCTGGGCAGTTAATTGTGCGCACGGTTAGGTTAGTGGAGACAAGGGTTTGCGGATGACATTTTCATGTGCAAAATAGCTTCGTTTTCAGCACCATAGACAGAACATCTCTGACCCTGTTCTGTGAACAGCATATCATAAACTGGAAAAAAATGGATCTTGTACATATTTGCGCTTGCCCACATTGATACTAACATACTCAGTAAGTACATATAGAGCAGCCTAAAATATCACAGTTGTATCTGGTCCGGTTATCTTCGACTAATGTCACAGTTTCGCGACGTTATTGAGCTTAAACCCGAAACCAAAATCCACGACCTCGATATCCTATAACGCGAGCGATGCCAGTAGGAAAACATGTTAAATCCTATAATCGTTATTATCTTAAGGTCAAGCGTTTGTCCTTTATGCTTGCAGATTGATAATTTCTTTACCCATCTGACGTTCCTTTTTATTTGAAGATGATTGATCTGAGCCTGCGTAGACAGTATTCTTCCGCAAGGCATTCAAAATATACTAGTACATAATCTAGCTCCTCCACTTTTTAACAACTTTTGATCCCTTTGATTTTTTACTTTGTTTGCAATGTTAGTTGTTTTAGCCTGTAGGAGTAAGACCTATACATTTGCATGTGTATAGTATGAACATGAACACGTCAAAATAAGGCGAATGTAAACCTTTAAATTTGCTTGGAGAGTAGGAATATGTTACGTTACAAAGGCTCAAAGATTTAAAAACAACCTGTTCCATACAGTACGGTCACTTGTTCAAGCAACCAAACATAATGTCGCCACCCAGTGATTCAAAATAAGTTCAAGTGGTCTGAGAAAACGATAGGCTGGGCCGACATCAACAACCCTGGGAACTGTGTCTATAGAAACAAAGCCATGCAAATTAGAACGTCTTAAGATAAGATTAAGAGGGCGCCAACGACCGACCGATCCACCGACCGTACCAAGTTTCAAGTTTCACCAGCTAACCAATCAAGGTCTCCGGAAACATATCCTCATCATGAGGGCAAACTACCCGACTAACCACCTTCTTCCCTTCTAGAGCAATACCAGCGACAGGTGTCAGCGCACACAAACCATTACCATACATCTGCTTGAAGATAAATCCCTCGTGTCTGCCGGTTGGGGTGTTGGGTTGGCCCGTGATCACGTGGTCGTGAGACGTACACGTTCCTGCTGTTCCGGTGTTCGCGCACTGGGACTGTGCGATATTTACCGGGGGAGGTAGGGCTAATGGTCAGAGTCGAGGGGGCAATGGATTTTTTGTTAAGTTAGGGGTAGGGTTATGAAAAATAGATTTAACCAGGTGAAAATAAATTGATTTTTTAAAACCAGGTGGAGCCCTGGAATTTGTTTTAAAATCCAACACAACGAGCACCATTACCCCCTCGCTATACATCGTACAGTCCCTAACATGGCGTCGCTGGATACGGTGTGAACGACTGCATATAGGAGAAAATAGCGTGACTGTATCGAGTACAAGATTAGAGTTTCGCGGCCGAACCGGTAAACTGCTGAACTTCTCATTTGCCGCCTCCACCGATGAGGGACTAACAGCCACGCACGAGCTACGGGGGAACCAGCACGATCGGTCATTCAGATCTCTCTCCTCCGGTGTGTATGTACGAAGTTTTCAGTTCTGCATTCTGACAGGTGTGGGTTGTTGTAGGCGAGAAGGAAATCATTTCCTTTTTATAAAACGAGTATAATCTCTTGTGAAAACCTTGACGATACGAAAAAAATAGTGTAAACATTGCTAAACGCTGTTTGGAAGAGTGTGTTTCATATGTTATTGTAACGCCTCACATGCATCTGGAAATGATTTGACCTGATCAACCGGCAGGGCATGTTGTACACAGCTCCACCCTATCTCTTCCGTGTTTGATCATGTTTACCCTCATGCATGCTTTGTGTCCGCACCCTTTTGGGGCCTTTTGTTCGGTCTTCAATGGTCGTGTAGGCGTGTCTGATCCTTGTTTTCGTCTACTCTGGTGACGTTATCATAGTGTCTGTCATATCTAGACATGTAACGTTATTTGGAGAATCTTGTCCTTATCAAGTCAAGAGCGTTCTTCCAATATGGGAGAGATGATCATATTAGAATGCAGTCTGATTCCATATAGGAATTTATCTGGTATAGCTGGATCATACACAATGACCTTCTTCTGCAACTGAATTTGTACATATTTGGTTATCAATAACTTGTAAATTTGTAATTATAAGGAGTAATTGAACTGTTCAGTTCAGTCCTTGGTCAATAATTTGTAAAAACAGTGAGTTTTTTTAGCAGGTCTCCTTCAAAATTTGCTGTTTGAAGTGTTTTGATAAGCAGTAAACTGCCTCAAGGTACAGCACACCTGTTTTTGTACTTGAGTAAGTATATGACTTCAATATTAGCTGCACATGGCCACACTAATTGTTCTGGTCTTCACGCATCGACAACAAGTGGTGATCGAGATGTGTCTGTCCTCAAACATAGGACCTTTGGCCTAATGTTCCCACGAAAATCTTTCAAGTAGCGCGCAGGTCGTGTAAGCGACAATGGCCACGGTTTGAACATTCAACTTTACAGGTCCAGAGGCATAATTATACGCATGACCACCCATACTATAGTAGATCTGCCATACAGGGGAAGCATGACCAGGCACCAGAGAGAAGTGAAAACAAACATTCAAATTATGTCACGTCAGTTATCAAGAGCAGGTCTGATTGTATATAGTGTGACGTTACTAGACCTTAGTCCCTTGTTCCTCTTGTTACTAGGAAGAGGTCTGCAGTAACCCAGAAAGAACCCACACCCATATTATGTTACCCCCAATGAATTTACTGCCAAGTACCATGCTGAGGAATTTAATGTCAAGTACTATACTTTGCAGAGCTCGAAACGCTTAAACTTATATACGAATACAACATATGAGCTTGCATATATATACCAAAAAGTGCTTAACTGCAGGTAGTTTGTATTGCTTTTTTTTTGCAATTTTTCCTACTAACTGCAGGTTGCAGGTGGATACGTCTAGTCCTGTGTACAAGTATTGGTCCTGACTGGATGATGTCAACACCTTTTATTTATCTAGTTGCATACTGGTCTCTTGACCGGTCCTCTAACCGGGGATACATGTAGTTGTGGGGGCGGTACATGCTAAGGTACACCAATTATCTGTTTGTTTCTCATATATCATAGTTCTCAGTACTGTTTAGTAGCGAGAAGCTGTAGACCGTCTAGCAAGACTACAAGGGCCCAAGGAGTAGTACATGTAAATACATATCGAAGAAGTGGGCTGACAGTAAACAACAGGGTTTTCTGTATAGCCCCAGGCAGTGGTAAAATGAAGGCCACTTGGAGGCATTTTGGCATTTTAGACTACACTTTTGTTGTTGCTTTTCTGGTCTAGAGGGTGTTTATGATCAGGAAGGAAATTTCAAAATTGCCCAGATAGAGAACCTCTATAAAATTACTGCCTCAGTGTTTTTGGTGGAGAATGCTTTGACTCCCCCCTCCCCACTTTCCCAATGAACATTGACATGTTGTCAGTCCAGTCTGGCCGTATATTCTCGCTCATAAACAATACAGCTGTAGCCCATTTATTAACCTTTGACCCCTCCAGGCAAATCCATTAATAGGTCAGTGGATAAATTGTTTTAGAGCCATGTAAGAGGAACATCAATTGTTGCAGAAATAAACCTAGAGTGTAAACTGTCCTTCCTCAAAAATCAACTTCATGAAAAACAGTGATATGATATTAGGTTCACATATACCTAGTGTTTATGACCATTTAGTTTTTTTACAGCATTTCTTCATTTTGATACATGATGTACACATTTCAAATTGTGATTTACAATGTATGTAAAATTAGATATGAACTATTTTACAATGCTAAATTACTAGTCTTTATGATATTTTCTGTGTAAAAAAATGGTGCTGCAAAAACAGGTCTTACAGGTGGACATTTTTAGCCATGTGTGCTGTGTGTGCCATGTCCTTGGCCCTGATATATGCAATGTTCATAACACTAATACATGGGCCCTAGGTCAAGAGATCCTCTATATAGGTCAAGGGAACCATCTATATCATATATGGGGATCACACGAAGAGTCAGGACTGATTTTTATGTATCAAATACATAGATTATCATAATACATGTTATATATCCAGAAAGAGTGTGTGTGGTAGATACTTGATGTCTGACCTAGATGAAGTCATGTGCTCTGTGCATGTGTCAAGTGGTGTAACATGATGGTATTATTAGCATGTTCTCTGCTATCTCAAATATCTTAAATATCATCAACTGGTTTTGGTTTTGATTCTTCACTTGAATTTACTAGACTTTCTAGAGAGTTTTTTTTTCATCCTTCCATAAATTCAACCAAAGGAACATCTCCAATACAAGCACTGGCTACTTATATGGAACAGTCTCTTTTGTAAAAAAATGTAGCACAAGGGAGTTACCTTCCAATATCAAGTAATTATACAATTCTGCATTCAATTTAATGCTTGGTTACATCTCACTCCTACCATGTCTTTTTCATAACTAATTAATCCTGGTAAGTTAGAATAGGAGTCTGGGGAATAAAGGGTTAGAAAGATTTTTATCACTTCATCTATGATATATGCAGTATTGCAAAACATGTGATATATTGTGCGGATAAATTGAGGTAGATACCTTTATTTGTCTCTTGCTGGTGATAACTTCTGTCTAGACAGGGTATTTTACATTCCACTGTGGATTCTTTGAAGGGACACATATCAGTACAAGGAGAAAGAGTTGAGTTGCCAGAAACTAAAATGAGAAAAGTACCTTATGCCCCAAACTAATTTGTTCTAAAATTTTGTTGTAGATAAGCAGTTTCTTTCCTTGATTTTCCTTGATTCCTTGAATATTTTAAACTCAAAATTGAGCAAGTGACATTATTATTATAATTACGAAAACAGGGCTAGGAGGAAAACTTACATGTCATACCTACATGTACATTAAGTGATCACCCCTACATAAGGACCACTTGGCCACTTTATGGTCCCTTAGATAATTTTTCCCATCAATTCACAAGCATTAAGAATCCTGTCTATGTCACAAGCATTAAAGTCCTGTGACCACCTGTAAACATAGACCTGAGTGCTCTTGGGACAGTTTTGAAGGTACATTTTCTGTGGGTGCAAATTTCCTTGTAGACTCTGTTGTCATGTTGAATTATTGCTGATTTTGATAGTCCTCCATTCTCGATGATGACTGTCTGACACATGGTCTCTTTTTATGTCTGAGAACTAAAAAAATATTTTAAATCAAATTGGGGTGACCTAAATATCACTAATCGGTTTCCCAGTCACAAGCTTTGAGGTTGACAAAATAAGCCTTCTTTGATGTATGTTATCCTTTGATATGTTCCTTGTAGGTCCATAATTGTGGGTGTAGCAAAATGTACCAATCTATTCTCAAATTGATAGAACTAATTAGATAGAATCGACCACACCCGACACACCCTATTTGATTGCCCATTGCACTAATTAGGGCTTAACAAGCTTTGGCCGTCCCTACTTTTCAGCAAGTGCGAGGACGCCACTGCATCTAGGCAACCATGGACATCAATTATTAATAGGTATCAGCCAATTTGTACAATGAGACTTCGGTGTTATCATTGTATTCCTGCATTGTTCCTTCCCACAGAGTCGAGAAGATCATAACAGCAAAGGGGAAAGATGAAGGGCTGCCTTAACTGTTTCCGCAAAAAGGAAGAAGGTATGTAACCTATGATTTATGTATCTAGTATGCATATGCACTTGTGTGATGTTTGGCCATTCTGGCTCTATTGGTAGTGAAGCTACGCAGAGTTACTGTAGTTTTAGTCTTTTGCATACATTGTGTCCATCTTTATTTCAGGCATCTATTTGTACACTATCCTGTCTGTTTGTTTGTTTGGCTAGTTGATTTAATCCTAAATAACACAGAAGAAAGCTGCAATATTCAGGAATCATCCATAGAAAAGCAAGCTACAATTGATATACTAGTATTAGATAAACCACATTATATTTAGTAATACGTAATGTAGGATCACAAGCCCCCCTTAGTATCTTTACAACCAAAAGGTACAGTGACAATTTAGGTATGTGTACCAGCATCCAACAAAACATTGTGGGATATCCCTCAATACATAGACTTTGGTACGCGTTACTGTAGCTTTTAAGTTGTAACTAGACCTTGGGATCTAACATTTAATACTTGACCTTTTATATTAATTTAAGCTTTTCTTTTTTGCACCTTTACTGTTACATAGTTTGTGTGACAGAGAAAATGTTTGATGAATATAGCTAGGCTGCCTTGTACGGCTACCCAATGGCCATAAGATCGCATGGCCACGGCTACCCAATGGCCACAATATACATCATGCAGATGAATTTTTTACCTATCTAGCATGTGTGTTGTATCTGTTTAGGATTGTTTGTCTGTGCCTCTCTTGTCACCATAGTAGATAATTGGAGGAAGTAATGACAATGGCCTGCAAAAATTAGTGAAGGCACATTTTGAAGATCACCTCGTGGACTCTCTTATCATCAGAAATCAATGGATAATTGAGGACAGGGTATTGTTTGCATTTGATACTCGCGTGTTGTCAAAAATTTGTGTCAAAACAACATTAATCATAGAAAGCATAACTGTATACAAGAAAAAGGAATGAATTTACAGACAAAATTGCAAGGGTACTCAACCAAGGTATACCATCTGCAAGTTTCACAATCACTGGATAAAAACTGAAGATTAT